TGGACAGCAACCCAACCCAGGCTTCTTTTATCTCTGGCTGTTCAGGTCTCCCCCGCTCACCAGACCTAAGGAGCTGACACCTGACTCACCTGCAGCCTGGGCAAGCCCCAGATTCTGGACGAGGCAAGGTTCTAACAGAAGATCTAGAAGCAGCCTCTTAAAGGAGTCACAGGCCCAACACAGGCCTTACACTAGGTCCAGTACTGAGTGGCTACTCAGCAACCCATGACTGAGTCCCCCCGCCCAGAGCAGTTCAGTGATTCTACAGCTGGCCCAGTGCAAGCTTCTGCTTCCTTCACTTAAAAAAAAAAAAGATAATAAACTTCTACAGATATGGTGCTTCCAGAGCCCCTCTCACCCTACAACGGCAGGGCTGCACAAGGCCGGCCACTGCATCGCATGTCAGATCACTCTCAGCATGCTTCAAATTTTCAAAGATAATATTGAAAACTACAAGATGTTCAGGGGAAGAAGGTGAGGCTTGATAAAGGCTGAGGGAGAAAGGAAGGAACAGATGGATGTTGAAAAAGAGAAAAATCAGACAGAGGCCAGATGTGTGCCTCTTCACTATGGGACCTTTAGAGACATACTGCCCAGTGGCCTGCAGTGACCCTTTTTACAAGAGGCCATGGTGGCTCCAGAGACTGGGCAAGGTCCCAGGACTACCTCCCAGTTCTTCTCTTGCTCCCTGCATTACCTGGTTCCTTACAGGGCTCACTGTAAGGAACTGAATGCTTCCACCCAAGGAACCCTCGAGACTGCACAAAACATCCACCCCAGGAGCTTCATAAGGGGAGAGAGCCCTCCGTTCCCAAGAAAGGGCTCCCCTAGGACCTGGCAAGCCCTACACTAGTGCTCTGGCCCAACTCCAAAGTAAAATGGGAAGCAGAGTACAAAGGCCCACTCCCCACATCACAGAAAGGAACTAAAATCATGGACCAGGGCAGCAGGTGCAAAGTCTGCAAAGACTTCCCCATCCCTGGGCCTGCTGTGTCCCTCATCCCTCCTTCCCCCAAAACACAGACAGGCGGCTTGCTGGACCCTACGGTAAAATCCAATTGGTCAAAACTTCCATGGGCTTTTTTTTCTCTGAATTATATCTGCAAATCTGTCTTCCCTCTGTGCCTCCCAGCCACCACCTTGTTGTGAACATCTTGGGGTGAGCTTCAACACCTGGACTGTGCCATGACACAACCTAATGAAAGACTCCTGCCTAGATTTTTGTCCTTCCTATCATTTATAACTCCAAAAATTACTTTAAAGCTATAGTAATCAAAATGGTGTGGCACTGATAAAGGATAAACAGATGAGACCAGAAAGCTCAGAAATGGACCCACATGACTGTCAACAGAAGAGCCAAAGTAATTCAATGCATTTGCCGCTCCAGCAAACAGAGATCCACCTGGACACCAGAACCAGAACCCTGCTTCACACCATGCACAAACTAATTTGAGATGGATGACAGAGCCAGACCTAAGGGCAAGAAGCATAAAGCTTTAAAGTAGAGAAACAAACAAACCCAGAAGTATATCTTTATGACCTTAAAGTAGGAAACGGGGAGACTGACTGGCTCTGGCACGCTCTCCCAAAGGAGCTGGCTTCCCACTGGTATGACTGGGTGAAGTCCCCAGGGGAATGAGCGAGGACGAGACACCCCAGCACTGGGTAGCAAACATCTGAGGGAAGCTGGAACCAGTCTGGTGGTGGGAAGCCACAGCCCTGCGGGGAGGAGGAATGGGGTGGCCTCTGAAGCCCTATGGCAGCACCACCTATGGCAGTACAGCAGAACCTCTGACACTAGGGGAGCTGGCAGGGCCCAAGGAGCCCTGGGAAGAGCAGGCACAACACCTTTCAGAGATGCCAGGCTGCACTGTCTCCCGTGCTCCATGGCTCAGGGTCCCCTCGCCTCCTTCCTGTCCACTTTCCTGCCACCATCTCACCCACAGCCTGCAGCTGGGCCGCACACCAGGTCCCTACCCTGCCCACCTGCCTCAGCCCAGACTGCTGGGATCAAAGGTGCCAGATTCCAGAGTCCCATGCTTTGCGATGTCACCTGCCCATGATTTGAAAGAATCCAGATTCCAAATCTGTGTGTGCCAGGGACATCTGCACTCCCGTGTTCACTGCAGGCTGCCACAACAGACATGATGCAGGCAACTAAGTGTTCACTGACATGTGAGGGTCAAGAAAATGGGGCATACAAGTACCCTGGAGTATAACTGGGCCTTACAAATGACAGTTTGCCTCTTGTGGAAATGTGCAGAGCTGGAGAACATCCTGACAGGTGAAATAAGCCAAGCACACAACAGCACACACACAGGGCTCACACGGGGGATCTGGAACAGTGCACTCAGGCACAGAATAGAACACTGGTTCTACCAAAGCCTCAGTGAGACCAGGGTGGACTGCACAGCAGGGTAAACACAGCAGGTAACAATGCACTGCACATTTCCAAAGCATGAGAGCAAGTCTCCAGGGCTCTCACCAAATGTTCAGGGGGTGATGGGTATGTTAATTACCTTGGTTTAATTATTCCATATCATATTCATAAATCATAATACTACTTTGTACACCATAACTATAGATAACTATGATTTTTCAATTTATAATCTTTAAAACTTTTAAAAAGGAACAAAGAAAATTCTGTTACCCAAATTTATGCCCATTTTAGTATTAATGTCAAGCATTATCTTCTTATAAGCAAATGTGACTTTATCTACACATTTTATGTTCAAAAAAAAAAAAAAGCAACTTCAGATCTGTAACAGGTGTTTAAAATAGTTGATTTGCTTTGCTCTCAAATTATTTTTTCTCTTTCCGAAGAAATGTATCATAATCAAACTCCATCCAAAAGTCCCAGTCACAAATGCTTCTAAAAGTCAGGGCATGACAAAGTGCTGAGCTGCACAATAGAGAGAGTGTGTCTGGGTCAGAGGGGACAGCTGGCAACTCAAGTGCCACCAGCATCCACAGTGCAGGAGGAGGAACAGGTCTCCTACTGCAGATGAGGCGCTGGGGTCCTCAGGGCTGGGTGCAGCCCAGGGGCGTTGTTCTTCCCACCCTCTGCCCCATTCCAGCCCTTAGAGTTGAGACCTGACCCTGGGAAATTTCAGACAAGGAAAGCTTCGCAAGGTAAACCACTGAGAAGAGGGAAACTGAACTCTAGCTCAACACTTCTACATAATTAAATCTGCCCAGCTTGGTGCAGAGGTCTTCAGAGGCAACAAGCATGAAACTATCTATAAAAGGAAATGCAATTAAAGAGAGTCTTTCTAATACATCTAATTCTGACTGCCCTTGCCCTAGGCAGCCGCTTAATTCTACTTAAGGATAACCATCTTTGAAAAGTCCTTATGTAAATTATAAGGTTTGGGAAGGAAGGAGCAGGAACCTTTCCTCCAGAAGAATCAGAAGCCACTGACAAGGGAGCAGGGCAGTGGCAGCTCATTTACCAGCCAAGTTGCACCTTTCAGGCATGTGCCACTCCATCTCGGTGCCATCTATTGTACTGCTGCTTTAAAATTAACCTAACCACCAAAACAGGAAACTTTAGTTTCTAGAGATAAGCTGTCCTGAGTTAACTGTAGCACTTTTTCAAAACTTGCTCTTTTCTCATTCATTTCAGCCAGAAATGGAAGGAAACAACCTAAGTCCAGGGTTCTTTCTAAGGGCTGCTGGGTGAATTCCCCCAGAAGCCAGGTGAGCAGGTCATTCTGGGTCCAAGCAGCAGGGACTGACAGGGAGAAGGAAGGCAGTGAACTGAGAAGTCACTAGGTGAAGTCCCGCCACTCTGGCTCTGGGCCCCTTCCTCACTCCACTACCTGGTACAGCTGGGGCCACAGAGGATGGGGCAGGACAAAGGTCCCCACCGCTCCTCACCTGCCTGCCAAGCTGCCAGTTGGAACTAAAGCAGCCGAAAGGCGCACCCATCTCCACCCGGGAGCACGGGGACCCTCACTCCACAGGCTTCCACAGATGAACTTGAGCGCTCTAGGGAGCAAGCTGCAGAGGGGCGGTGGTGGAGAGTGGGTCTAGTGACATGACATTTGCATTTCAAAGGTCACCTGGGCTCCAGCAAGGAAACCTGACCGGGCCCACACTGGACACCTACCGTGGGGGCGCACTATTCTGGGGTGGGAGGTACAAGCCAGGCAGGAGTCTGGGCTTCACCCTTACACCCCACCTCTGCCACGGTTAACCTGAGGATTCTGACCTCTCTGAACTTCTCCCCGCAGTGAATGACCTCCAGTTAAGGGCGGCCGGCAGGGCTGCGCGGCCAAACGCATGAAGCCGGGGGCGAGGGCGCCAGCCGCAGGCAAAGGGACGGCGCCAGCGTCAAGAGGGCCGACCGGCTTCTGGCCGGGAAGCCGGGGGAGGCTGCCTGGAGGAGGTGACATGGCTGGGCAGCGGGCCGGGGTAAAGGACAGTTTTGCGAAGCGTGTGGCAGGGCGACCCGTGGCAACGCTACCCCCTGGCGCTGTGGCTCCCTCTACGGGACACAAGGAAACTTTCCTTCGAAGCCCTGACCCTTCAAATATTCCGGCCAAGCGCCTGGATGTGATAATCAGGGAAACTATGTCACAGAGCAGGAACCCGGGGCCAGACAGGAGGCGGGCTTAGCCAAAGCCCACCCGCCAAAGAGCTGGCGGCACCGGGATTCGAACCTCCCGCCCGCGGGGACGCCCGCGCTCCGTCGCGGGAGCGCACCCCGGCGCCTCCCGTTGTCCTGGAAACGGCGCCTGTGCGCGCGCGCACTGCGCTCCCCTCCTGGGCTCCAGTTTTATTTTTTAACTTTTTTTTTTCGGCGGCGGAACACTGCCAACGACCGAACGTGTGGCCGAAGGACGTCGCTACGTCCGCTCTCCGGCTCCTGCCGCGGATCCCTCCGCCGCCCCGAGGCCTGCGCGCGGCACCCGACTCCACGCTCCGAACGGCTTCCCGCGCGCCGCGCCGCGCCCCACCCCCACCCCGTCCTCACCCCAACCCCCAGCTCGGCTCACCTGCCGCCTGCGTCTCCATGGCAACGCCCCCACCGCGGAGGAAAAAAAAGCCTCGGCTCTTCCGGGACCCCTCCTGTAACGACCGAGAAGGCGGGGCGACCCGCTGGCGCTTCGCTTTTTATTTTTATTTTTTTAAGAAAAGAGCAGGCGAGGTTATGGCGAATCTGCGGCATCCAACATGGCGGATGGAGTCTTCGCCCTCCTCCCCACGGGGCTCGGACGCCTGCGTAGCGACGTCCTCCACGGGGGCCCTCCCCCAGCGGCGCTGCCGGGCCAGTGCGCATGCTCGCGCCCAGTGGACGCGCTCTGCCTCCATTCCAGAGGGTCCGCCACTCCGCGTTTTAAGCCACGCCCAGGAAGCGGTTCTGCGGGTGCCCGGAGTACGGATCTCGGATCCGGAGGCTTCCCGGTCCTGCCCTGCACCTGCCCGCCCACCTCCCACCGGCACGTGGGCTGCGGAGTTGGACCCGGAGGCGGAGTTCGGACTTGGTCTCCCGGCGCCGTTTTACCAGCTCCTACCACCTGTACTACTGCTGCTTTAGCAGGAACTTTTCTTGGTCTCAGTTATTGATTTGCACTCGGGTGGATACAGCCTGCACCACCCTCGGGTTGCAATGTTTCCCCGAGAGCGAAACGCCGGCCGCTCAGGGTGCCCAGCTTGGTTTGGTCGGTAGGTAGGGTGGACAGCCTGCGCTCCACGTGCAGAAGCGACCCCTCCGGCCGGATCCGTCTCGCAGCCCTCGCCTGGGTGTGACCTCCCCTCTCACCTTGCTGGGCTCCCCTATCTGAAATCTGATGACCTTGTTTTTGTTTTTGATGTTCAGGTGGTTCGCTCTAAGGCTCCCTTTAGTTCTAGCTCAGATAACTTCTCAGGTGGCCCTCTTAAGCTTCCCAAGTCACTTTGTAGTTCCCATGTAGTAACTATTCCTACAGATAACAGAGCTAGACGATTATTGAATGCATTTCCGTACAGAACAACTGACTTTTTGTTGATGGCAGTTATTGCTGTAAATACAACTTAGGTTACTTCTTTTTTAAGTATTCAACTTGAAATGGTATACATAACGCAGAGAAGTGGTGAAAATCATAAATGGAAAAGCAGAATTCAAGTGGCTGAAGCTTGGGAAACGTGTTTATGTTAGAGTACCGTCGACTTGCCTCTCCATGCCCAGTGTTTTTCCACTTGACAATATCACCTCCCAGGAGCACCAACTACGAAGGACCTCCAAAAGAGGTGTTCCACAGAGCTACTGCCACCCCCACACACCCCCCATCGTGGATGCAAGATGGATGGTTAGGTGGGGCCCACCAGAAACTTATTTGGAAATGAACTGCTCAAAAACCTACAGTGATGAGTTTTTCTTTTAGAACTATAAATATTTACAATAATCACTTTGGCGGGGAATCGATTTCTGTCAGGAAATTAGAGTTGTTCTGGGTTGCTGACAATATTGGTTTTGTGCTGGGTTGCCTTTCTTACAGCAGTATCTAAATGTTATTTATTGATTAGCAGATGGATTGTTGCTCCTGGATGTTGTGACCAAAATGAATTTTGGAAATGAAGCAATTTAAGAGTTACCTCAGAACCCAATTATTTCAGAATATTAAAGTCAAAAGATGAAATTGTCAAATGTGGGTGATGGTCCTAGGTTAATTATTTGGATAGCTTTGATTTTTCTTCATTATTCCTGTGGCCTCTCCTTCCTGCTCTCCATTCACCTTCCACAGAAAAGTTACTGAGCATCTGTTGTGGGAAACTGTTGGAGGTGGGCATATGGAAGGGGCTAAGGGAAGACCCCCTTCTTTGGGAAACTCAGACCTGTTAAGTGGAAAGGTGAGCCCACAGCTGGCTCTTCCATTGCCTGTGTGACCTGCACATTTTCAATCAGCAAACATCTTTATTCTTTGCATTTGCCAGTAATATTTCAAAATGCTTTCAATTAATGAAAAAGCATTAGTGGAATTAAGTGTAAATCACTTGAAATTATGTAATTAATGGCCTCCTGCTGCAACAATGGGTCCTAAAGGAGATGAGCTTCCCAGCAAGCCTGCTGGAAGCAGCCAGGCTCAGAAGGCTAGCTCAGAAGTGAATTCACACCAATGAACTTACGGACATAACATAGCAATTATGTAAGAAATGCAATTTACATAATTAAATATATTTGTATCAGTAATTTTACAGTTATAATAATAGCTATGTGATAGATGCCCTTTACATGAAAATATAATAAAATTTATGTACACGATTTCATAGGTTATAGAAAGCAGATTTTGATAAGACTACTCATAGATCACATTAAAACAGAGTCTTGGGCACCCAGCAATGTTAAAAGCAGAGGTGGGAGTAAACAGTTTTAAGTGTCAAAAATCTAAATGTTGTAGACAACTCATGTAAAATTTGTACAGAAGTGACTGAGGGTTTAGCTTAGTGACAGCACTTGCCTAGCATGCACAAGGCTCTATGATAAATGCCTAGCAACACAAAAGAAAAAAAAATGTAATTGTATAAAAGGGTATGGTACTATTAGAGCTGTACAAACAATCACTGTCAGTATAATTATGGTCCTAAAGGAGATGATAACTAAGATTGGCTCTACCTTTTTAAGGAATCATCAAATGCTGTCTCATCGCCAGTCTCCTTGTGGCACCCACCCAGATGTACACTAGCACCCAGATAATGATATCAGTAGTATTTCTCATTAGCAGTAGCCTGGCCTTTTCAAAGAAACTGGTTTCTTTGTTGGCAAAATGGGACAATTTAGAATGGCCTGAAATATCTTAATATTGCTAGTAAACAGATGCTCCAAAAAATGCTAGCCTATTGCTGAAAAATAGAGGAGCCAGCTAAAGTAGAAGGAGGTTGTAACAGGCCAGATTGTGACTATTTGCATATCATAAAAAGCAGCTGCTGAGCTATAGTTGTTGGTCTACAAGTACAAGTAGACTCTGAAAAGCCCTGAATCCTTAATGATTAAAAAAAGTTTAGTATTAGTGTTGGAGGACATAGTTCCAGCACTGAGCTGCCCCCACTCCCCACCCTAATGCTCAACATGCACGAGGCCCTGGGTTCAAACCCCAGCACAGAAGGAAAAAAAAGTTATGTATTCAAAACTGTGCATAGAACTGTAATTACAAAACTAGTATAGAAAGTGGATAGTTTGGTAAATACATAAGTTTGATATATATGGATTTATTTCTTGCAGTTCTGTGTGTCTGTCTACAAAATGGTAAATCTGCAGTAGTTGAGTAAATAAGTTTGCCATAGTAGTCAAAGATTTCCAAAAACAGTAGGAACCATGCCAAAGCCAGGAAGGCAAGCCAAGACCAGTAGTCTCATAAATAACCAGGTAGGAAAAGTCCCATAATTTGTACTGCAAGTTAATGGATTAAGAAAATAGCTGTTAAATTAAACTACATGACCCTGCAAATTATACTTAAATGCTAATGCCACCTAATGAAGTTTGTTGTTATAAATTGAGGCAGAACATACATACCCCAAATTTAATGTACATGGGTGTGAAGGTTGCAAGAATTTACTTGCAAGTCCTGTTGACATAGCAGTGGAACCTGGTCTGAGGGAGACCCAAGTAGGAAGTACCTGCTGCCATTTCATTCACCTTGAAGGATTCTACATTCCATCTGCGAATCTGTCAGTCAGGAGCCCAGAGACTATGAATTTAATGCACTTGGGAAGGAGATAATTTTTCTCTTCAGGGTCTGATAAATGTAATCCTGGGAAAATACAAAAATGTTTTACAGAGATAAAAAATTATCAGTAGTGATGCTTCATACAGATAGGCTTGGGTATCATGCAGTAAAAAAAAACTATTTTTAAGGTACTTGAAGCATTTAAAAGCATTTAGAAGTTACATCAGACTCAGCTGTATCAAAACAGGACAATTTGTAAATGTCTTAAGAAAATTTGATTTATAAGGTTTTAAGTTTTGACTCGTCAGTTGTGTTTAAGTAGTTTAGGGGAAAATGACTAGATTATAAACATCACAAATTTCTTTTAGTAGGTAACTGGGCCATGAAAAAAGGAGGAGGGTGTCTCTGGATCCCAGCAACAGAAGAAAAGAACAGAACTCCCAGATTTCGGGCTCATGGGGAACCAATACACAGTTGATGAAGGAAGAGGAAGATGGATCTACTCCACGGGTGAACCAGGAAGGTGAGAAAAGGAACAACACACAATTAAACATTAATTTGTAGCTGTCATGTAAACAGCACAGATGGCAGAACAGAGAAGAAACAGACTTGGGAAAAGCATGGGTGTCTGTCTGGTGTTCATGATCATTGGGCTGGTCATATGGTCTAGCCCTACGAGATGTGGGGTGTGTTCCAAGACACCACATCAAGTGAGAAAAGCAGAGTACAGAACAGCATGTGAAGCATGCTACTGTTTGAGAACAGTTTTATAGGAACTATGTAAACATGATTGTAGGTGCATGAAGAATCCATGGAAAGATGGAGAGCCTCTTGTGGGAACAGACAGCCTTTGAACAACATCTGGGCCTGGAGATCTGCTCACAGGGAGACCTTCTTTTCACTGATCATCCTGACGAAATACTTGAAGGCTATCCTAAATACTGCACGAGACAAGAAGAGAGGAAAAGGCTTGGGAAACCCGGTCTCTGGGTTCTGGCCTGAATCAGGTGTTCAGTAGCTACCTGACTTAGGACAAGTCACCTGTTTGGGCTGTGCTTTCCTCTAGGCAAGGATATTGACCCCCACATCAGAGCACTGTGGGAGGGAAGTGAGACAGCAGTCCAGAAAATGCAACTCATACTGTGGGTTGGTGGTGGATCAAGTAGCTTCTGTGCATTTGGGATCCTAAGCAGTTCACACCACACAACAGAAATGGTAAGAGAGAACATGCCAGACAGTGTTCCGATGTGGGCTGCCACCATCCAGCCATGTAACTTCAAAAAGCAGCCTTAAAGTGTCTGGATCTTATGATAGTTCTGGTGAGGATTCAGGGGAAAAGGTATACTCATACATTGTTCTTGGGACTGCAAATTAGTGCAACCATTCTGGAAAACAGTATGGAGATCACTCAGGACATATGAAACCATCATGTGACCCAGCTAACCCACTCCTTAGAATTTATCCAAAAATTAAAATCAGTATATGATAGTAATACAGTCACTTCAATGTTTATAATAGCATAATTCACAATAGCCAAGTTATGGAACCAGCCTAGTGCCCATCAGTAAATGAATGGATAAAGAAGATATGATGTATATACACATGGAGTTTTACTCAGCCATAAAAAAGAATGAAATCATGGTATTTGCCTATAAACGGATGAAACTGGAGAACATCATGCTAAGTAAAATAAGCCAGACTCCAAGTTGAGGGTCAAATATTTTCTCTCATGTGAAAGCTAGAGAGAAGAAAGGGATAAAAAGAATCCTGTGAAAATAGAAGGGAGATCAGTAGAGCTGAAATGGGGGGACCCCTGGGGAGTGAGGAAGAGAGGGAAAGGGGAAGAACGGGAACAAATTTGGCCATATTATACTAGGTGCATGTATGAATGTAACACTGTGCATTCCAATTTTTTATATACTTATAATGCATCAATTAAAATAGAAAAATGGAAGACGTATAGTGTAGAGGAAGAGGAGGGAAAGGGGAAAACTATGTTATATGCATTTATAAATATGTCAAAATGAATCTCTCTACTATGTATAACTAAAATGCACGAAAATAAAAAAATTAAGCATCTGGATTTCAGTGTCATCTGTAAAATCGCAGTTGTGGGGGAATATGGAATATACCAGGTCGTTTCTAAGGTTCATGTCTACTATAAAGCAAAGACAAAACATGATTACAGCACTGATTAGAAGCTGCTCCAGCTCAAACAGAGGCATACCAAAGCCTGTGGGTGAGTTCACACAAAACCAGCATTTCCCACTACAAGTGTGTGAGGAGCCCTTGGACAGGTGCTGACCCTTTATTCTGGGTCTTATTTCATGGTAAAAGAGGGGCAGGATTGCAGAACAGAGTGTTTCTTTGAGGTGTTCTTGCCTAAATCTAATAGGAGCCATGTATGTGTTCATTGTTTCAACTGTTCTTGTAAAGACCCTCAGAAGGAATGGGTCTGTTGGCAGTCTGTGTGGTGCTGGCCCCCGGAAATCACATCCTAGCCTAGTTCCCTGTGACACTAACTTTGAAATGGGCCATGTAACTTGCTTTGACCAACAGAACATTAACAAGCATCAAGAGGCTGGATAAGCTCTTGCAACCTGGGTCTGATCCTCTTGAAACTCTGCCCTGGAAGCCCACCTCCATGCTGTAAGGAAGCTTAAGCCAAACTCTTATATGACACGAAGCCACAGGAGGGAGAACACAGAGGACAACAGACCTCCTTGGTGTTCTAAGTCCTAGCTCCTCCCCAGCCAGTGTAGCCACGTGGATGAACCTGGCTGCTTTGCATAGCACAGAAGGACACTCAGCTGAACAGATAAGCTTGTTGATTTAAGCCATTAGTGTGGGGGTGGTTTGTTGAGCAGCAATAAATGTCATGTGAAAGCTAGAAATTTACTTTCAATGAGGCTTTTGAGAGCCCACAATATCCATTGAGGAGATGAAGCAGCCTTAAGCTTGCTTCTCCAGAAGCAAATGGGGAATAAGATGGACAGCCTTTTGGATGGACTTCAAGCTGTCCTTCAATTAAGAAACTTTATTGAAGAATGTATGAGAAATTGGGCTGCGATGTCAAGGGTGTTTAAAATCTGGGTCAGAGAGTAGAGGCCAGGAGATGCCTCTGAAATAACTTAGCAGCAGAAGCAGTCAAAACACCAGGAAGGTCAGACGGCCAGAAGAAGCCACTCAGGGAGCACTAAGTTGGCAAAGAGAAGGTCTTTTTCCAGAAGAATCTCAAAGTCAAGTATTCTGTTAAGTTCATCTGCACAACTGTCAGATCACATTTACTGTTTGGGGCCCCAAAATATGACCACCATGGGTAGCTGCTGTGGGAGCAAACCTCCTCCCTCCTGCCAAAGTGGGTGGAAATGAAATGGAGTAAAATAATAATGATGGCCAGGGCCCAGGTTCCTGGAGTTTTCCAGGCCCTTCCATGTCACCTAGCCTTCGCA